ATCGGATTTATTACAATCGAACGGCTCAACGGTGTATATAATATGATATATCACTATAGGTACCTCCTACCTATGTCGTTAATCGGTATAATATATTGTATTATCAGTGCACACAAGTCAAACGGCTATTTTATGTTATGCGTTAATATTTTATTTTCGTTCGGTGGGTTGTAATACCTATGCATATAATATACATTATACATATTGTGTATAAAAGAAGAAAATTCAAATACATTATTCATAAACGGAGTTCAACATATATTATACATGAAATCGGTATACGCACTGTCGCGACTGCCAACACCTATAGGCATGGCGAATTATAATACAAACGCGTGTTCCAAATTCCACGAGGGTTATTTTTTTCTACATATTTCGTCGCCATAATATAATATTGTAATAATATATAATAATTCATATACAGTTACTGCGCAACTTATATGTACCGAAATGATCTCTTGCGCTGAACTCCACCGCGGGATCGTGCGATTGCAGAAACGTAAAGTATAAATCGTGCCGTACGGGGCTTGAACTATATATCCGTTTCGGTGCTTTTTTTTCGAGTACGGCTTACTTAGCGTACAACCAAACCACAAACATACCGACAAACTTTCACTCATCGGGTGCTGGTGTAGGGGCTAACCGTATACCGCGGTCGGGAGTGTTAAAAAAAATACCCCATACAGCTCGCTTGTTCACGCCGGGAAATATTCCAACAACAGGAAATCGTTATTAATGCGCATTGAAATTATGCGTTTCTAGTGTAAAAAAAAAAAAATAACGTGACACTTTGACACTACGCGGCGGGTTATATGCGTTGTTGCATAAACATAATATTATACTCCGGCCCGTTAAAAAAACGTCTAGGATATACGAATATCAATATTCTCATTTACATAGCATAATATATATATATATATATGTATTGTATAGGTATACAGCTGTGTAAAAGTCGACAAACCGATGATCTAAACTTTCGACAAAACTACATATGATACAACCACACATATTAAAATGTTCGATTAATATATTATTACATCCGTAGGTACTAACATTGCTAAATGCTAACATATTAAATGAATAGCAAATTTAGATGTTGGATTAAAATTAAAATTGATTTGCCAATGACCAACATTAAAATATGTCATTATTATTGTTTGTTAATATTATTCTATAAACGATATAATTATTCAGTACAACAAATTGTTTTTAAAGAGGATGTAATACAAATTAAGAAACAAAATGGCTAATAAAACTTGTATAGGTGAAATATTAAATCTAAAAATATTATACATACATTTTTGACGTAGTCCCTTGAAAATAAAAATCTCGTCTCGTCGATTGTAAACTGCGTCTTGCAATAAAGTATTCAGCACATGATATTATATATACTATTATAGTATCTCGGTCTTGTCAGTTTTGAAATTTGCATTACAAAGTATAAACGTCCACCAAATATGAACATATATTTTGTAAATACTTATGTAGTTTATCAAGTTTCTTTCTAATATTGTGTCGTATATAATTATGTGTTGAGTATCGTTTAAGTTATTTCAACCACGAGGAAAAAGTGTCGATAAATGCTATGTATACCATAATAATTCACATACCAACCTATCATTATATTAGTTGAGTTTCTCTATATGTGATTCCGAATAAGTACCGAATAGTGTTACTTGTCCGACTATGTCACTGCAGAACTATTTTTATATAGGTAAAAGTAATATTTTTTATCGAGGTTTTATTTGCCATCAACGTATTGTCTTCTTGATAACGTAATAATAAAAACAATTATTATTGCAGGAAACTACAATATCGATTTTTGAATAATGAAATTGATGATCCGAAAATTAGATATTGAATACTTTTACCCTCGTGAAAAAATCGTGATCAAAAATTAATTTTTTTTTAATGAGACCAACGTTGTGAACTATAAACTAACTAAAAATTAAAATGTTGGCTAACTTTCCAAATAAACTTACATTTGCATACATATACTGATACGCTTTAGCAGATAGCGATTAACATAATGCACTGAAGTAAAAAGTAATTAGAAATCTAAAACATTATCGTGTAAAATGAATAGGGATAAACGTATCAGCTGTGCCTACTATTAAAACTATTCAAAACATGTAAAACGTGCGGTGCAGTGAGTACCTATATATCCACTAGCTTACAAGTTATGACTTATGTTATACTTATATTATAAACATACGTAACATGTTTAAGTAAGTAAAAGAATACCAATACATTTGTGAAATCACAAACGAATGTACGGATGTGACGGGGTAAATTAGGATCGAAAATGATTAGAGGGAAAGACCGGTTGTAATGTTTTCGCCGTACATATAAGAAAAACAAAAAATCTCCGACGATTCGTATGGGCTCAATCATAGCCGCCCAGTTGTGCCACCTATGTGGTCTTATTGATATTTAATTATATACGTTTGATACACTCTGTATATGGTAGTAATGCACCTATCTGCGTGATTAATGATTCACCTGATGTAATAAAATCTGTTTTTATTATTTATATATACATTTATACATATTATAGGTACAACAGAATAACAGATTCAAAGCGCAATAATGTAGGGGCGTTGCCATCACTTTACTTCTCGAACGTCAAAATAATAATTGTTTTCATACACCGTGTTATGACAATAATTATTATAATGATTGATAAACTATTATACTGGAAAATAAATTAAAGTTTAATAATAACAACTGCGAGATGATGTCCGATACTACGGCAAGACTGCAGCTAAGGTATAGATAGTATAGTATCCTGGTTGTTACGTAAATTAACAAGTTTACAATGTCTTATTATTTTTATATTTTAATATGTTGTACTTGAATAGCATGTCATTGTTATATACTTAGATACATTGAAAAGCACTGTCTTTCACACCAACCCGAAATGTATTGCTATATTTTTTTTTAATTTTAATTTGTAATCAGGTATGAATTGGTAATAATAGAGATACTAAATGAAATACCTTTTTGAGGTACGGCTTAAGTCCATAAAAAGTAATTCTGAGAAAACAAGAAAAAACTGTTTTTATGCTACCAGCGATACATATTTATTTCTCTTTCATACTGGTTAGATACAGTGGTAAAATTAAATATATTTTTTGCAAATGTTCACTCATGATCCGTTTATCATTAGATAACACATTCCATTCAATATCTCAGTGTGTGATATTTTGTGACTTAACGTCGTTTCTCAAATAGGTGGTTCAAATATTATGATCATTTCATTTTAACTGGAACCCGTTAGGATATAAGATCCGGAAGTGGTCGGCGGAAAGATACTTTATCTACATAGTATCTATTTTTCCCCATAGCCATCTCATTAACAGACAAAATTGCTAACTAGGTATACATTGATTTTTTTATGCCAAGAAATGTTTTCAAGTTATTATTATTATTATTATTATTATGCAATATTATTTTTTATTATTAACATTTCTTTTCTATATTTATTTTAACATATTAAATACTATAGTCATACAGCTCTCAAGGTATGGTAGATAAAACCGAAAGATTTCAAAATTGTGTTATTATTTTTAAGTGATTGGACCTAAATTAGGTTAATAATTTTCCTAGTGCCAAATGTCTTTTACCAGCTTAAATTAGGAACAATAAATATTGAATATCCATCACGCATTTTCAAGAGCGATGCATGCTCAGGTTATACACTCTTCTACCGTCTGCCAAATAAACCGACAGGCTAAATATGAAACCTCAGATTACTGATATACTGACTGCATCGTTTCCAAAGTTTTTAAGTAAATACCAAATATTCTTATCATCAAGACGACTTTAAATTTAAATCTCGTTATTTTCAAAAGCCGAAGGACGTTGCAACACATATATTGAGAAAAGTATAAAATTCAAATTGCACATCACATTATAATAGAACAATGAATTTGTAAACATTAAGTTACACTTATTTATCACATTCCCATAATATGAACAATAATGAAAAAAATTGTAATTTGAAGTTTTAAATTATAATGGACCCAAATCATCAAAAATAATATTATTTATAACAGGTATATTTTATCGCGATGGGTTTTTAAATTTAATTTATTTGATGTAAACATGGTAGGTCCATACAAAATATGTTTAGAAAAGTATATTTCCTGACCAGAAAACGATCTCGGGTAACTTCATCTTTATGTTCAAGCTACTTTCATATATTCAAACATAAAATATGAGGGTAACAATTTGATAGGTAATAGTATTTAGGATAATAGTCGAGATTCGTTGTGCTTTTTCTCCGGAGGAAAACGAACGTTGCAAGAATACGGTACCGGTGTCTCACTTTTTTGGAGGAAAATGTCTCCGGCAGCCTGCGGGTGGGCGTACGTCACAAGCACGAGATTAAATAAATACGCGAGCACACACATACGCACACGCACACGACGACCGTGGGAGCCGAATCGTAATAAAATAATAATAATAATAATAATAATAATATAATCGACGCGGACGAGGACGCGAAAAGCCGTCGTCTACAAAAGGTAAAAACGCAGGGGAGCGCGTGCGCGTCTGTTATAATGATAATAATAATAATAATATGCGTATACCTACCACCGCGGACAATGACGATAATATAATATACGCACGCACACCCGTGTGTGTATGTGTATGGGTGTGTGTGTGTGTGTGTGTGTGTGTGTGTGTGTGTGTGTGTGTGTGTGTGTGGAAGCGCGCGCCGCCGTACCTCTAAATTAGCGCGTGGCAGGTGTGCGCGCGTGTTGTGCACGTCTACTGTTACCGTGGTCGGAGGACGAGGCAGCGGCCCGAGGCGGCGCCCCTCTCGCGGGCATGCCTATAATATATTGTTGTTGTTGTGTGCGTGTCCCGCGCGCTGCACAACCGGCGGTGCGCGCACTGTGGGAATGCGACCAAGATTCCCACGGGCGCCCCGTCACACGCCGCCACCGCCGCCGCAGCACACTTCCCGCCGCCGCCGACCCGGCACGGCCGTCTATATAAAACCGGCCGTGCCCTTGGGTCATGCCGTCATTCGAACGATCCTTACCGAACCGTCAACACGCGCTCGTCCGTCGTTCGTTTTTTACTGTTTACATAATATAATATTAATTTTTTAATCTCGTCATTACGAGTTTCACTATATTACATTATTATTATTACCACAATAATAATATTATAATCGTCTCGCCGTTATATTGTGCGTGTGTGAGATATCGACAGTAATATTTCCGTCGATATTATAATTTATTATTGACAAAAATAATTAAGAGTGTCGTTTCGAAAAGTGTCATATATTTTATATTATAATAAAATATACCGTGATTGTTTCGACATGCGTCCCGCCGCCGAACTCAGACCGTCATACCGGGTTCAGATGCACATGCAAATGCAACAGCAACAGCAACATTACCAGCACCAGCACCAGCACCAGCACCAGTCTGGTTCCGAATACGATGAACAACCCGTGTCCCGGACTTATCAATACAGAAAGGTAAGCACAGATCACGATTATCCAGAATTTTTTTTTTTTTATTTCCATCCAATATACGTTTTTTATCAAACCCTAATAGATATCAATAAAATAATATTATAATATACGGACGACATCCGTAAATCATATCATACACTTAGTTTCCGTTTTTAATAAAAAAATTGTTTGTCCATCAGGTTATGAAACCGTTGTTGGAACGGAAACGCCGCGCCCGAATCAACCGGTGCCTGGACGAGCTCAAGGACCTGATGGTGGTCACGCTACAGGCCGAGGGCGAGAATGTCAGCAAATTAGAGAAGGCTGACATACTGGAGCTGACGGTCCGACACCTGCACAAGCTCAAGCGGCACAACGCGCTCGGTCTAACTGGCGTCGACTCAGTTTACGCCGACAAGTTCCGCGCCGGTTTCGCGCACTGTGCCACCGAGGTATCCAACTACCTGACTGCCGACGTCCGGTCTCCGCCCGTCGACCCGTCCGCCGGTGTCAAGCTCCTGCATCACCTTGGCTCTTGCATGCGCAAAATCGACGTCGACTCCAACCGGTCCGCTTCCGGTACGGCCGCCACTACTGCCGACCAGTACAGGCCGTACACGCCGCCGTCCACCCCTGGAAGTGAGCTCAAAGAGGACCCGAATTCGGTCTGCTGGAGACCGTGGTAAACAATAATGTTGTTTATTTCCGGTCGAAAAGTTGTTATTTTGTTTTTAATCTCTCGCATCCCCTCTCCCCTCACCGTGGCCCCCGCCGAAGACTGATATGTTCGACCCGAGGTGGAGATATTGTATATCATATTATAATATATAGGCAGTTATAGGTTTTATAGGTATTATGATAATATAATTGTATTATTGTGAGAGTATACGACGATAGTTTGTTGTTCGCTCACTATATTATTTATTTTTTTCTCGAGATAGTATTTTATATTGTAATTTTTTTTTCTTTTCGTTGACGACCATTCCTTTCTGGGTATAAAATTTGTATAATGTGTACTAATATACTGGTTGCAGAGGATATGGCACTACGGCTATTTACCAAAAAATTCAAAAATACCTCTTTCTTTGTACTTATATATGTATGTTGTAAATAATATATATATATTATATCATCGAAATAGAATTTAAGACATTTTTCGATTGTATAATAATAATATTATTAAAAAAAAAATGTATTCTGCAGACGTGATACATGATATTATAATTATTGTAATATAATATCAAAAACATGTATTATGATAATATGTAGAAATTCCGTGTGTGTGCGGAAGACCTAAGAAAAAAAGCATATCTGTGATAATAATAATAAGTGTTTTACTAGAATACATTAAATCTATTCAAACATTTTAAACGTCTTGTTGTTTTTTTCTTCCTCCTCCGAAAAAAAAAAGAAAAAGAAAAATCGATCAATCAATCAATTTGCTGTCGTCGAAACGATATTATCATGCCCGGACCGCCGACGATAAGTCAATTTGTGCTCGTACGTGACTAAACCGTTCGGTTCTGGGAACCGGTCGAAAGGGGAACGGTGAGAGAGTAAAATAGAAGAGAGAAAAAAAGCGATGAAAAAACTATTCTCTAAATACAGGTATATACTAACGATACGGTATAAGGTATAGATGACTGGTGGCAGTCTACACGTAGGAAACAATATAATAATAATAATAATAATAATAATAATATACGAAAACACGACGACGGGACTATTATAACAGCTATAGTAATAATAATAATAATAATAATAATAATAATAATATGACGATTCACCGCCGGGGCCGGTATTGTTCGGACGACGGAGACGACGAAGACGAAGACGACGACGACCAACGAAGCCAAGTTCTCACGGTGTGCCGGACCGGCGCGGCGGCGTGCGGTGGCGCGCAGAAACCGTGACCGATTATGCGGGCACACACACACGTACACACGCGCGCGCCCGCTCACAAATTTACACAAAAACACGCACTCACACTCGCACAACGACACACACATTTGCAGGCACGCACGAAAAATACACAAGCCGATACGTGTCGTGTACGAGCTAGGCGCGCGCGCGCACGTCTGTGCGTGTGTGTGCCCCCTCACATATGATAATAATATTTTTATTATTATTATTATTATTATTATTACGTGTTTGTATTGACGTTATTGGTTCCGGTATTTACGATCCACGTCCGTGTGCCTTGGTGTGCGTCCGTGTGCCTTGGTGTGCGTCGGTGTGCCTTGGTGTGTGCAAGGATCGCCGCGGTGTGTTCACGTCCGTAAGCGGCGCGCCGTACGTGACCGGCGATCCCATCGCACGCACACTAATCGCGCCGACCGCACCGGACGATACACAAAAAAATACGAGTCGTAGTCGTCGTGTGTGTACACTATATATTATTATTATTGCGTAGGTACTACGACGCGATAATAACATTTTGAAATACTACTCTACGACTGTACATTATATATTATTAGTATGAAGTGTATTAGTTTTTAGGACTTGGTTAGGACTTGGGATGAGAACTGAAGAAGTACAATATAATAAGTAATAATATTATCCAATTTTTTTTAAAATTCCATTTATTAGGACCGATTTTGTCACATGCGACGACGACCATGCGTAGGTACCTCTATTATTGTAATAATAAAATTGTGATCGACTCGAGGTGATTTCAAAGTAGAAAAAAATCCATTTATCCACTTAAATTTTGGTCTTTATTATGGTCTTTATATTATTTATAGGCCCAATACTGAAGGGTATTCTTGTGCAGTGTTCGTTTCGAGAGACTTAAGATGTTCCCAAACAAGAATTTACCGTTCACAGGGATAGGACCATCAATGATTTGATATGAATAAATAATAATCATGTTGCATTATCACTCACACATACGTCGTGTTTAAAACTCCATTTGAGTGTCGAATGTTTCGATCGGTCTACAGGAGCAAACAAAACGGTCAAAACGTTAAACTATAGCCTAAAATCTAAAAAGTTATTTTATTATAAGTTTTAAAAAATAATAGACAATATGTATGATAATTTGCAAAGTGAATTTTAAAATTTCAAATGTATTAACTGCAGATTATATTATACTCCCGGCACTCGGCTGTATTACTATACAACGTTTATACAATTTAAGGTACCTTCGTTACATATTTTAAAATATGAATTTACGATAAATTCTATTTCTATATTCGTATTATTATTAGGCTCCAGCTGATAGGCTTGTGGTTTGTTTGTACATCGAATATTTAAAAATTGTCTTTATTAAATCTATAATATGTCTGTTGTAGATACTTTAATAAATAAACAATAATGTTATGCATACGGCAGAAAATCGGCGGCGGCCGAGCACATTGTATATTTTTTCATATTTTCACACGACACGCATAACATATTATACGAACATAATATACCTATATATGTATAATAACGTGTTATATACGAGCGTCCGTGAATAATGGTTCGAGTAAAAAAAATAAGACTTCTCCGTCACACGCGCACGGGTATACAAGTACCTACCTTTACACACAGATATATATATATATATATATATATAGTCATCTACACATCTGCAGCAATGACTTTATTGTATTATTATTATACGGAGTGCACCGTGCGTGTGTGAACGTTTGGACAATACCGGGAGGGAGGGCTCTGGCTCGAGAGTGCTGCGCAAGTGCAGCGCTGCAACGTCCGATGCAGGTCGGAGAGAGATGAAAAACGGTTTTTTTTTTTTTAGGAGAGGTCGAAGACTCGTCGCTGCTGCGGCGGCGGCGGAGTAGAAAAAGACCGTAGTGAAATCCATTTAGTAGAGGCCGTCCCCATCCGGTCCGGGACACACCGGAAACGCATATAACATATTATATTATGTAGTGTAGTACACGCTGACGTCGTCGTGTACAGACGCATTTCGTTTTCCTCTCTCCGTCGGTCCGCGACTTTGCAGCGTGTGCGTGCGATCGCGTTTGTCTCTCTCAAACGCGGCGGCCGGCGAGAGCATAATACATATTATATTGTACAGCAGTGCTGGACGTGTTGTAGTGGTCTAATCAACTCGGCTATTATATATGTTGTTATTATTATTATTACTATTATATTCTAACTGGACGCCACCGTCGATCGGCTCAACCATAGTATGTCATTATAATAATGTATATATACCTACTATACATTGTGTAATGTATAATATATGCACAGGGAAATTACCAAGTCCATGCGTGCACATCACCCGTTTTAAATTCATTCAAGTTCTGACTTTTGGAATTTTCAAGCAAGTATACTTGCAAGGACCATGATGCTTTCAAACATTTACTTAATCATTTTTAATATCTACTAATCTCTTAAGGACTGCACTCCAGGGGGTGAGGCAACTTCGATATTTTTTTTTATGAGTATCACCTTATCCCCAGTTATATATCTGCAAATTATAGATGACTTTTTGAAAATGTTAATTTACGATAGTTATTCAACTATTTTCATTATCTCTTCGTGCTTCATTCGGTCTTGACCAAATTCGATTATTTCGGGTATCAATAGGCCAAAACGTTTAAACCAGTAAATTCAGTTATACATTATCCAAATCATTAAAAATCGATACAATTACGTCGGTACATCAACTGTTTCATCTGTTTCATAATTTAGAATAAAAATGCTTGGTTATTATATCTCGAAGAATAGAAAACTGTATTTCCACACGACACTCCAATACTGTAGTAGGTATTACAAATTGTAATATTTGACAATATGGCACCACCTTAAAAACCATTTTCAATATACTTGGAATTGTCGAAAATCATAGACGTACATAATATTACTGTGCACTGCTTCAGCTACTTACCTACTTCAATGTAACACTATATTATTATGTGTAGCACCTCCGTGATGATCCGTTTCCCTCTCGCCCACTCCCATAATAATAATATATGATATAGGTATAATCGTATGTATATTAAACGATTGTCGCTGCCGTTCCCTAGATACGAGAACGATAAAACGGTCTCGTCCATCTCATCAACACCACCATAGGACACATGACAATAATAATTTAAAAAAAAAAAAATCATAGCTCACTACTCGTTTTCTTTACTCTACAGAGATATTATATTCTAAAATTATGCACTGATGTAGTCGTCTATGCGTAATGTGTAATAGTTACTGTAGTGAAGAATGCGTAGCTGCGGAATTCGTATTTCGAACATGAGCTCCAGCAGGTTAGTTGGTTACCATTTTTTTAGCGATTTGATTTTTCGCAGTCTTGTAGAAAACAATGTTTTACGTGATTTTCATTATTATACATATAGTATAATATATGATAATTTCTTATCTTAAATTGGCTGTGTAGGATAAAACATATATTACAGTATGTACAAATAAAGGGATGAAACCCGTTTTTTTCGTTTCCTTGTGAATAGGATGTAATATAGTGATTTCGATTAGTACTCCATTTATCCGAAAACCGTTTATATTATATTATAATAATATGTATATAGGTATGTGTGTAAACTCCATTAAAAGTCACAGTGATATGACGATCAATCATAGCTGCTGCCGCAGAAAGCTTCACCACGTCCACGACGTTCTCGAGGGCAAATGAAAAAAATAAAATATTATGTATACATATGAGGTACCATATTCATTACACATAAGACGTACGCTGTGACGGACTTAAAAAGTAATCCGTAAATTCGAACATTTTATCCCACGCCCGTGCCCCCTTTATATTATACCTACACATATTTCGACACCTCTCTCTTCCATCGACTCTATAGCATTCTTCTACACATGAAGGGTAGACCCCCGAATGTAACCCCCTTTAATGGGACCTTTTCGTGTACGTCAATATACCACGTGTCCACGTACCTTCTTTTGATCCACGAGCCACGTGATGTATAAATCATATTGTTGTATATTTTAAAATATCAGAGGCGGCTGATTATCAAACACTGAAAAAAATTCTTTTCACTGCACCGTATATATAATAGTTATGTATACATCGCTATGCAGCACGTGGATATACACCGCACCAGCATTTAAACGTACATTTATAAATTATAATAATATTATACGAAGTAGAATTATATCATAAAATATGCAAATGACAGAAAATTTACATAGTAAGTATTTATAACGATAT